CCCCTCCCCCCCTTTTTATTTATTGTTAAATGCAGCCATGTGAGTTTCTGCTGGAAGGGAGGATTTGCCCTCCCAGGATTGCCCCCCAGCACGTGCTCTGAGCCCACCGACGTGCTGCGCTGCGAGGCTTGGATCCTTCCCGCCTTTGCTCCTCTCATTTCTCCTTTGCTCGCCGTTTGGTTCCCAGCACGTAGGTCCAACTGCGCTGCCTCTCCCGTTCACAGCATCCAATAATCCACAGCGGCCACAGGGGAATGAATAACTGGCCATAACCATCAGCATTCGGTACTTTATCTGGTAGGGAGACAGGATTTTCCTCTCTTTTAATGTGCAGCCCTAATCTTTAGGAATCCCAGAATGTACAATGCCAGATATGTCCATTTTGCTGTCATTTTTTTTTTTCTTTTTTTTTTTTTTTGCTTAAAAGTGCATTCAAGGGAAAGAAGAGGTAGTTCCTGGAGGGTGAAGGGGATATGGGCCCCTTTCTTGCAGGTGCACAGGAATGCATTTCATTTTCCTGCAAGAAGTTGAAAGTAGGGTTTGACTAGATCAGAAAGGATTGCATTTAATATTGAATCATTAGTACCAAGTAGGTACAATCCCTCAGTGGACTGGACTCTGTACTTCCACTTAACCACAACTGCAGAGGATTACGACCGTTTTCGACTTTTACTCCAGGCCTCTGTTCTTATAAGTAATTTATAAACTTTTAGAATCTGAAAAGTAAGATAAGCTCCTATCAGAAATGCATGTAAAATACCTACCTAAGAGAGCTTGGAAGGGAATTTTATTTCCTTTCAGAAAGATCATTCTTCTGCAGAATCTTTTATTGCTGCACTGACTGAAACTATCCCAGAGACTTAAAGGTACAAAGGTTAATGATGCTCTTGGGCATTCATATGAGCAGATTTTGCCTGTGGTGCATTTCTTTTGAGGCAAAATACAGGAAAGTGTGAGGAGAGTGCAAGGAAAAGACAACAAGAAGTAACAGACGAAACACAAAACTGTGGAGGAAAGAATAAAGGGGAAAGAGAATTTGGCTGTTCTTAGGGAAGCACTGCTAGTACTTGAAAACAACAGTCTTAATGCTGCAGAGGATGCTTAAGTTATAAGAACGCTAAATATGAAAGCTTTAACAAACCTCAGCCTCCAGTAATATATAAGGAGTAAAAGAGAGAAAGAAAACATGCCAAAATCCCTTTGTCGTCAAAAGATAGTGATCATCCAAGCATACAGCCA